ATCGAGTTGTGATACCAAGGAAGTTGCGGAAACGAATACTATAGCGATTTCATTCAGGCATCCAAAAACCAGCCGAATGAAGGCACTGGCGCGAAGTTTGGTGTATTGGCCTCAAATGGATGAAGAAATCAAGCAGTTCTGCCAAAGTTGTGAATCTTGTTCACAAGCGGCAAAGGCACCTCCGAAATCTTCGTGGCACCCTTGGCCCGAGTCGAAGAAGCCCTGGCACAGAATCCATTTGGATTATGCAGGACCAATCAACAGTCAATCTTATTTGACTTTTGTTGATTCCTACACTAAATGGCCCGACGTGATTCCAATGCAAAATCCCACAGCCCAACACACTAGCAAAGAGCTGAACAAACTGTTCCAGTATTTTGACACCCCGGAGATGCTAGTTACAGATGACGGAGTCCAGTTAACCACAACGCTGTTCCGAGAATTTCGCAAGCAAAACGGAATGAAGCAAAAGTTTTCGCCGCCGTGCCATCCACAATGGAATGGGCAAACCGAACGGTTTGTAGATACCTTTAAACATGTTCTTCTCAAAGCGGAAGGAACGAGGGTGTCACGAGATGCAATTCAGCCGTTTTTGAGAATGTATCTAAACACTCCGAATCCAAACACACCGGAGGGTAAATCTTATTCTGATTGTCTCTTTGGACGAAAAATTAGAACGACATTTGATAGCCTGATTCCCAGAAATGTTGGAAAACGCAACGGACAACCGAGAGAAGCGGGATAGCAGGCTTCGCACGTTCAAGATTGGCGACTTGGTGTATGCAAGAAACTTCCAGACCCCGGAAAGATGGGTTAGCGGAACGGTTAGTGGAAAGAGGGGTAAAGTTCATTATGAGATAATGGTCGGAAAGGACAAGTGGACCAGTCACATGAGTCATCTACGACAGCCACATGGCAAATCTCAAAAATATCAAGGACCAGTGGCACCACAGTGGGACATACTACTGGATACATTTGGTTTAGAAAACAGGACTGACCTCCAAAGCGGAACATAGCCGGTCGCACAGAAGCCACACAACGTGACACACAGGCAAATTGAAGAAGCAGGCAACCGCGAGGGCTACAAGTGGACCCCAAGGTAAAACGCTACGACCAAGCCCAAGTGTGGAAAATAGATAGGAGCAATCAATTCAAAGGGGGCGGTAGTAGAAAGGTAAGCGGGGCCAATGTCCAGCTACGAGTCGAGCACAGGCTTACCGCGGAGCACTGAGTTGTCTGCTGCGTGCGAAGGTCACCAGCACGAGCGTGGAACGATCTTCGGCTGTTTTGCCAAATTTGAGAATCGGGTGCAAACTGATTGGTCAGTAAATACAAGCCCGAGTCAACGGAGGTGAATCATTCTTCCAAATATGGAAAATCCGTGGGACGGAATTAACTCACATTGGCTGAGAGCCAAACGCTTCCAAAATTAGTATGTTTCGTTCACCAATAAATAGAACTGACCTATCGTGCAAATTAGACTCCCTGTTACCCAGCCCTGTCCTTCTGTATCCCGTCGGTTGGTTGGGCTCCTGACTGAGCAATCAGGCGGTCGTAGTCTTGCAGGCGCAGAACAGTAGCAGTGCAGCAGTACGAAGGCAGCTTTACGACACATTCCTACTGGGTGATTTTAACACACTCATTGTGTATGATGTCACGGTGTGAGCAGAGTTAATCGGGGCGTTGAGTGACTGCTCTTGCTCACTGACGGACGATCAAAAGTGCACAGTGTTCACTGTGTGTGCAGGATATAGCTACTTGGACGCACCCACGGATTGGTCACTCACCCGCTCGACCATGTCATCGTACATCCGCGTGACACGCGCGAACGGCAAATCACACGTGTACTGCTTGGGACTGAGTGTGGCACTGATCGTTAGTGCGGATTGAATTGTATATATATTTGCGCAAGTCTAGGCAAGTCTACCGTGAATCGGTTACAAAACTGCAACGTTGGTTCAAGTCAAGTCATGAATTCGCTTTTATGCACTTATGAAGGGTTAATTTTCAGACGTTACACACGCGCGATTGAAGCATTAACGAAAACAATATGATACATGCCAAAACAGTAGCAAGACTGGGCTAAAACAATGTTTCATGTGTGGTACGGGATCACTACCATAATTTGCTGTTTAGTTCTTGAATAATACTATTCGGATTAATCAGAAATCTAGCTAGATACGGTAGTGAGATGAGTCTAGGTACTGTTGAGAAAAGGATCGAGCTACGCTCGTTTGAGGTCTCGACTATATCGCTTCAGTCAACGATCTGTGACACCACATTACAAGAAAAGTGACTTCTGCAGCTGAGCAAACGATCGGGTCTGGAAACTGTAAGTGGCCCTATTTGTATAGTGACAACGGTGCTGTCACTGGCGCAAAGTATACAGCTTTCGCTACGCATGCAGAGAACCTTGCCGACTCAGAGAATGTCATTTTCGCAATCGGCGTCGTGGATTAACTCGAGAGTTACGTCGCATCAAAAATGAGTGGTGGACGTAGAAGGCGGAGCAGATGGAGTGCTATGCTGAACGTCGCAAACGTAAGGAATTCTTTTGCTCTTTGAAGGTACTGCTGAGGACGCAGGTGGATACTACTTCGATTGCCTCCTGCATACATACTTAAGACATAACACAGATCCGATGAAAGCTCTTTGACTGCCTTTTAAAAAAACCGTTCAGTGATTGACTGGTATATGTTGCGCAGGCTGAAAAAACAGGAAGTGTCGATGTACCTTGCCGGCACGTCCATATTGTTTGAGGCGCAGAGAGCAATGGCTCCGCTACGAAACGGAAAGTGCGTCGGAGACAACAGGATACCGCCAGAATTGTAGAAACATGGCGGGCCTGCGTTGATACGTGCGCTGCACTACTTGGTGGAACGCGTGTGGCCTGAAGAAAAGGTGCCACTAGCTTTGAAGGATACCTTAGTGTTACCACCGTAAAAGATCAAAGGTAGCAAGCAACGTGACACGAATTATCAAGGTATAAAGGTTGTGAGTTGTACGAGGAAGTTAGTCCTACGAATCCCACTCAACCGACTCTTCACTCAGGTCGCTGAAACGAACGTGGCAGAAGAGCAATGCACATTTCATTTGGATCGCCGCACCATAGATTTGGTATTTGCAGCTCGTCAATTTCAGGAGAAATCCCCCTAAGCGAGACCTACCCTTGTACTCGCTGTTTATTGATTTCACCTAGGCAATTGCCATGGTGAATCGCGAGACACAGTGGCTAGTGTTGGGTAAGTTTTGTTGTCCTCGTAATTTTACAAGTCCAAATGATTGTCTGTACCGTAATATTCCTTCGAGGGTGAAGCTTAGACAAACCCCGGATGGCTCGACTGTTGTCTCTAGTGTGAAGCAAGGCGGGGTCTTAGACCCTGCCCTGCTTAATATCTATCTAATTCCTATGATGTCGTGTGCTTGTTGTTACGGTGTCCATGTGGAACACAGCAGTGATGGCTGTTAGCTGAACAGGCGTCGATTTTGAGACAGGACCCTATGGTGTGAGATAACCATTCGTTTGTTACTGTTTGTCGATGGTTGTGCGTTGTTCGCACACAGCGCGGATGAGTTGTAATACATGAAAGCGGCTCTCGCTTCGACAGTTGCCTAATCTGGCTCACCATCAACACAACCAAAACTGCTTTTCAATCTTCACTAGGAATGGAATACGTCAGATTGTCCTGAATCCAGCTTTAAGATGATGTTTTGGAAAACTCTTCAAAATATTTCACCCTTGGAGCATACTTTCGACTAATCTACAGGCGACCAGCGAGCTGCGCATCCGCTTGTCAAAGCCAGCTGCTGCATTTAGCAAGCTGGAAAATCCGGTGTGGAAGAATCACTTACTGATCGTTGATGCGAAGCAATCATTGTACCGGTCTATGGTGCTGTCTGTATTTCCATACGCCAGTGAAACCTGGACTGTGTACGGTAAGGACATTTGATAATTGATGCGATTTCACCATCGGTACCTGCGTCGAATTCCGTACAACAGTTAAATTGACGGAGGAGCTGAAAATGAAGTGCACGGGTGCAGCATGCATATATGAGCGTGTTAGGCTCAAAGCGTAGTTCTTTGTGTCCAATATGGAACGGGCTACGGGCTAATCACTGGCTTGTGTACCTCAGGGATGCTTGATCCCCAATCAGTACGACAGGAATGCTGCTTTCATGCTGAAGGAGTTTGGGCCGCCTTGTTGATAAAACCTGGCTCCAATCCCCATACCTCCCGGTGGCATTCATTCGGGTTTGAAAGCATATGGGGTGTGTGGATGGAGCTGCGGGTGGTGTGGCGCAAGTCACCATTGGCCCCTCCGTAGACGCAGGCGCCATGCGGCTGTCCTATGGAAAACGCAGTGGGAGGCACACCTGGACACGGATGCCGCCAACCATACATATATATATATATATATATATATATATATATTCAACTGTTAGCCAAACGAATTCAAGTGATACTGTAGTTATCGTAAAAAGAAAGGATTACGATGGGCACTTCATGGGGTAGCCACGGATCCTTAAATTTGTAATGGGTCAGTTACACCTTTGGGAGCTTCTTTTGAGAACCTGTGTAGTATGCCACTGGTCTCAGATGTGCTGTTCTAGTAGCACTTTAATGTTTGTCCTGGGCATGGACAGAACCGCTTGTTTTATGTTGTTGCAACCACCAACTGTCCGAAAAGCCATGTTTTAACATTCAGGCAATTCAGTTTAACCCTGGTATGTACAACATTATAATGCAGATAATTGTAATCAACTTAATCACTCTTGTGCTTCGTCTGCCCACTAGTTTGCAAGCGTAGGTTCACTGGTTCGCATTCGCGTAGGGGTGGGCATCCTCGCGGTATGTTCAGCCCACGCGCGACTGATGGTGGTCGTGTGGCGATTTAGTTATTTCATTTCTATCGAAGGCACAAAATTTATAACCACATCGTCAAGTACGATCAATGAATGCGTAAAATGCAGCGCATATTATTTCTCCTGCTCCACTTCAGTATGAATTCCACCCCTATCTGAGTGTCTCTGCACAAGAGCACCCAATGAGACGTATATGCACGCGGCTTTTTCCTATGCAAGCTGTACATTTTCAAGCGCGGACAATTTTTGCTGATGGATCGCCGGAGTTACTGTCTAGTCCCATACTACAGGCTATCAGTAACGAGTTGGGAAGGACGCCAGCACAAATACTTATACGATGGTCGTTGCAAAAAGGTCACAGTAAGTTAAAACCCCAATTTGTGTAACTTTTACGGTTTCTAGTGTTTGTTAACGATTAGAAACCAAAACGTCGGTGCGTAGCTAACTTTGTATTGGATATGTAACTTTAGCTGAAACGCTTACATACTACAGAAGCTATCTTATGCCAAACTAGCCTTCCGTTTTTATCTAGCCTTCAGAGTAACCCTACTAAATGCACGAAACTTCTGGGAACGGCAGATTATATGGAGAAATATCTGGCATCACAAGCTTCATTCTATGAACGAAAAGTGTTCGCGATCCAATTGCCAGTTCTTCACAGTCGAATGGGCGAATGCTCAGAATATACTTGGAACCGACATAGACGTCTTTGTTTCTGAGCAATTCGTATACACTCAGTAGTTTTATTTATTTGGCCAACTCAAGCAGTCAATCGATTGTTTACAAATCTCTCTGAGCTCAAATGGGGGTAATTCAGTAGGATTATTGAAGCAGCTCGTTCGTAATACAGACAAGTCAGGGTGGATGCCCACTCACGGTAACGCAGTTGATCGCGCTCCACTATATACCAAGTAGCAGTGACTAGCAGCTTGTTGATGTGATGATTTGTTTATCCTTAACAATCTAGATGGTGTGTCCTCTGCGGATTTGCGTGTGTTTATAGGATTTTGAACGTCCGAACCTTTTGGAGGCTCAGTTTTTTGGGTAAATGATTTACCATTGAACACTGAATCTTTTATGTCAGCTGGTGCTTAGTCCACTGCAGCCCAATCGCCCGGCCCGAACATAAATCAACAATCCCGGGTTATTACTGACCTGTTTGTCATGCACACCCCAAAGCTTACTGTCTCGACTACACGTTTTTTTATCTCGCTTACTTCTTTGTCTCACTTGATCTACGCGTTGATGTCTAACGGTTTTTGTACCCTCCTAGCGTATTCGGATTTGGACGTTACACATGTACATTTATATTGCACACCAGCACATCTGTACGTTGTGAAATTACCTTTTATGCACCTGAAAGCATCGGCGAAGGGCTTGTTACCGGGAGTAGGCATATGTGCTGCGCGGTATTGTCTTCATCATTAGACTCGCTGTGAGAGTTAAACATCTAAATGTCGCATCTCTAACAAGCAGTAGTGCTGGGTGAGCACTACTCTCTTCACACCCATGACAAGGTCTAACATGCAAAACTTCCCAATCAACCATAGATGCCTGGATGCCGAGCTAATCCATTTGTAATTAGTGTGACTCCACAAAGCTGCACATGTCTAGCTGTTCCGAACGATTCTGGTCCTCGTGAACGAGAACCAAAGCCAAATGGAAAGAGGGGGGATCCAAATCCTATCGTATGACTGCCGTTGTGATCGAGTTTACGATACACTTATTAGCCATTTCCGACTGCCTAAATGTCCAGTCTTGTTTTGGTTTGTTCTAAATAGCTTCTTTGGTAGGTTCATTTGTCGCACACTAATATGTTCTCAGTAAAACCGCTCAATCGGGTCAAATAGTTTGACGACGACAATTGGTGGTGTAGTGTTCTCTCTTACCGGCTATACCCCATCAAACTAGTAATCACAAATCATCAGCATATTTTTCGGCAGCAGCAGACAGCTAAACGAAAGATAAGGGTTTATCCTCAAAAAGGAATTATAAGAGATAAAACGTCGGAAATTTTTAAATGCACCAGTCTAGCCCCGCGCTAATCGCAAATGCCGTCAATGAGTACGACTTAAACCATCTATTGTTATATACTTCATCTGCTGCTGTCGAAAAACCACAGGCAATTTTGAGGCAGTCTGGTTGGTCATTTTGAGATGCTGTGTATGTTACTATACATGATGAGGCCCCATTTCATTGTACCTGTCCTTCTCCTTCATGGTCCCTGATAAGTAAAGTGTCGAACCGATTTTTGTATTCCACATCGGTTTATCAATCTTTCAATTTTCTTCCCTGTTACCTGGCTGATTCCGTCGCCTAAACTACTGGTGCTGATCCAATATAAAAAATACTTTACCAAAGTTAGCGGAATGATACCGAGTTGAGGAAGCAGTGAAAAAAGCCAACCAAAATTTAGGCCTACTGCAGAAGTCGTTTGGCAGGTTTGATTCCACCTTTTTTCCCGAATGCTCAACGCTTCCTTGAGGCCATGCTATCCAGGTGTGGCACCGTTGGAAAAAACGTAACCTCACTGCTATTGAGAAGACACAACAGAGGGCGAAATATATGTTGAGGGGTTTCTCCACCTCCATTACCAGTTGCGACTGAAGACTATAGAAGTTACCAAAGAATAGTATCGTCCTCTGCGTGGTGATCTCATATTTAGGTATCAGATCCGCAACGATCCTATCCACCCCTCCCAAACTTACTAAAGCTTAGCCACAACCCCTCACTGACAGGCCACCGTTTTAAGTTAGCCACACCGGAACGTTTTCTCGATTCGTGTATCCCATCCATGGAATTTATTTTGCATTCACTCATCTCCGCTCCTACGTTAGTCGAATTTAAAACGCGACTTGAGGATGCGTTACACGACTTGCGTTACACGATTTAACCCATTTAGCTGGAACACGGGATGAAGTAACCAAACCATGCGTTCATGTAAGATTTAAGGTAATCCAACCGCAACGCGTTTTTCTCGCTTTATTCATATTTGATCCCACTATTTAACTGCGGAAACTGTTAACCATATTACTTTTTATCCGTGACAACTCCATTGTTCCATTGTGAAGGAGGACCAACTTCTTGGTGAGGCTCCTTTGTTGCATCTCACTAATGTTTCTTCGCACTGCAACGGCTACATGGGGGCGGAAACTAAACTATTTCCTGAAAAGACACATCAAATTAAGACTGAAACACATGGACGTCACACAGTCAGTAATGTGGTATTGATCTGCTCCGATCTGTTCACTGGACTGGATGCTTTAGCAACTAGTAAACAACGAACTCGGCGAGCGAGTCGTCGTCTCCAGGGCTCTCTTGAGCTACCGACTTTTTTCTCATTATTGTATTCGGAGGAGCAAAGAAAGGCTGTTTCAACCCCTTCGAACTCATCACTACAGGTCCTGTGGCCGATAGGACCGATTGTATAGGTATTTGTGGCTAATAGGCTAACCCTGACCTCTGTTAGTAAAATACCTAGGCTCAGACATTCCCGTCATACTGCTTAAATCTTCACACTTTGTCCTAATTCTGGATACTATCCGGTGCAGTGGAAACTCGCGATAATAATGCCGCGGCACAAAGTTGAGGCTGCATGCAGTATTAAAAAGTATCACCCTATAAATCACACCCCTGTTTTCTCAAGAATAATAAAGAGAATAGTGAAAAATCGGATCGCTGCGCCCTTTGTCGAACAAGTTAATCGGTAGATTGGAACAGGGATTCACAAAGTCACGATCATGTAATTACTTTCAAACAGCTTTCCTAAACAATGTGACAGAGGCCATGCACTCTAGAAAATCAATTGCCATAATTTTCCTGGATTTGAGCAAAGCCTTTGATCGGGTACCACATACAAAACTATTGGCCTAACTTCGGTCTGTTGGTATTAAAAACCTCTGTTAGCCTGGCTAAGTACATACTTAGTCGATCGAAAACGAATAGTGGACATGGATAATTTATTCAAACCCACGTCAGTCGCAAGTGGGGTAATCCAAGGTAGCATACTAAGTCCCAACATTTATCTACATTAATGACATATCTGAACAAAGCAAGCATGCAGCTGCTTTTTTATACGCTGATGACACAAATATCGTTTACGCCCATAACAAGAATTATTTTTGTCAGGCATTGCAGTGTATCCAGAATCATCGTTTTTCATAGAGTCTCGGTGTTGTCTGTGAGCTATGAAACTGTCCTCAGACAAACGCAGAAGCTTTTCTTCTGGATACCAAATTCCATCAGATAGGCTTAGACTCCATGATGAACAGCTCACGTAGTACATTTTCATTCGGAAGCTGGATTTGCACAACTCCACAAAGTTTGACTTTTATGAACAACGTGATTATCAGATAGCAAGGGCTAAAGGAACAATCTGCAGATCATTCGCGCTGCGTGAAATTAGACTAAGGCCATATATAACACACAAACTAATAAATAAACCAGTATATTTACAGACAAGTGATATACGGCCCCATAAGCGGGAGCCATCAATTTTACACTGAATAGGTTTCAGGGTTTATTTGACATAAAATTATAATAATAAGTTTAAATAATAGAATTTCTGATCATGAATTTTCCCTCGGGTCCTAGGCCTGAGCACATAAGATGTAACAAGTACCGATATTTTGATCAGCATTCTCTAGTTTGTGAGGCTCAGGGATAGGTAATAATAGAAAGGAGCTAATAGGTTGCACTGACGTAGGATTTGGTTTTTTGGGTAATGATATAGAGTGGGAAAGCAGATTGGAAGCAATTGGCTGCTCATATGTTTATAGAGTTTGTTGTCAGCCACTGATCTTCAACAGATTTGACATGCGCTATCTACATTGGAATACTGCGAATTTAGCTTCACCAATATGAGGAAGTGTGATAAACTAGCTCTTGAGAGGGTGCAACGGCGCCTGACGAAACAATTTTTGGGGTACTCCACCACCATGACTTAATAGGAATGAAAGCAAGAACTTGGGCTTAAACCTTTATGGTTGCGGAGGCTGATAAGTAACAACAGTTACCTACACCAAGTCATCAACCATTCTGTGTAGGTTCAGGTCGATAGTGTGCACATAGATACCAATGAATGGCACCACTTTAAAAACAACACAATGTAGCTCCTTGTGCTGAAGTGCCCAACAAGGACAAGGGAACAATTCCTTTCTGGTAGTGTCTTCCAAGTTATAGAACAAACTGCCTGAAAAGATCCGGCAGACCAAATCGCTAAAAAAATTTTAAGAGAGAAATACGGGGGTACCTCACACAGAATAATATAACAGATACCTTGAGCTTAACGGGGGGAGTTGATGAAGTTTGGACTGCATAATTTTATGCACTCCTGAGCTTCATACATAGTATGCCCACAG